ATATATATTTCTGAGTCTTAGTGTTAAAGGTGCAGTATGTAATTTTGACAGCTATTCAAAATATAGGAGAGGGTTGTTTCCCCCGCCCCCTCCTCCTCAGACTCGACGCTCACACGGGTTGCCAGATTGAGGACACGGAACAGGAGCGAGCGCAATTGACAATGGAAGGCAGGGAGACTAATGCCTAAGACTCGAATGCCGAAGACTAACACACTGTACCACATGGATCTAATAAACTTGGGTACGACATGTATGTAGTCTGTACAATGATGACACCTATTGAATCGTAGGCTACGACACAAGTTAGTATAAAGAACCTCCTCAGCATGGGCCAGTGGTAAACAAATAGAGCAAGATGAATCGCACTTTGGTAATTGTGGTTTTTATATGGGCTGAAAAAAAGAGGAGGAAGTGAAAGAGGAGAAAATGGATGCGATCATGGCTAAGGAAAAGAGGCCAACTTGGCATGTCAATTTTGCAAATGGAGCTTGAGGTAAGTAGTTTTAAATTTTAGCACCATGTCACATTGATCAACACGCCATTTCATGTTGCATTTTTATTGGCTAGTCAGTAGACGTTAAAACGCTAAATCATGCAAAATTTCTGACACTGTCAGAAAATTATCGCAGACTATCTTTGGTCGCAAGTCTGTCACAATGGCCGTCTTTGAACCTCTATACTGTACGGAGTAGGATCAGCGTTTAGGAGCTACGACTACAGAAATCGCCACGATTGGCCATCTTTCGTCTGGGACAGCTCAAAATCGTACAATGTGTATTGGGCATTACACACTTGTTAGAATGCCGAAGCTTTTTAGAATCTGCGATCTCTGACCCAGTTTGTTTGCTGGCTTCCATGGCTGTAATACGCTGTGTTTCGCACCAACTGGCAACCCGGGGTGTCAAAATAATGTTGACTAAATTGGCAGCGGGCGGGATCAGACCAAAACAAAAATTGACATTCCGACAAGGAACGTAAATTTCAAAGCTGAATAGCATTGTTTTTCAGAGAAACCATTATGTGAACTCAGGATGTTTCCTTAAATATCTGCAAACATATTATGGTATTTTTATGCTTCAGTAAAATCAAAAAATGACATAAAGGACCTTTAAAGAGGCAAAGATCTTCCGGGGTTGCCTGCATCAGCCGATCAACTGTCTTTGAGAAGAATGGGAATGCTGGGTATATTTTTTACACGTCTCGTTTGGTGCTACAAGTGGTGTAGAAATGACATAATTCACAGTTAAATATTTAGATGACAAATCTAATAATTGCCTGCACAAAATTGTAACAAACTTTCTATTGTGTAATTACAAATACAACAGCGGTGTAAGACATCCATGTGAAATTCTTTATCTATTAAGAGGTAAAACGAAGGTATTGACTATGTATGCAACCAGCGCTTGACATTAACTTTTTTGCTCACTAGCCAATGTGGCTAGTGGTTTTCCAAAATGACTAGCCACGCAGCATTTTTACTAGCCACAGTTTTGTTGTTGTACGTTTTATATGATTAAAATTGACAATGGGGCTGAAAACGTGCTAAAATGAACTAATATTATCATTAGCTCTGATAAGGTTGTTAAGCTCCTTTTTTGATAACATGTTGTCTAAGATACACACATAAAATAGCTTCTTATTGTATATAATAAAAGTGCTGCATTGTTTGTTTGTTTTTTGTTTTACAGCAGTAAATACTGCAATACAGAGTAGAACAATTATCTGCATTAGAAACAACGAGCAAAGAATAAATAATAATTTTAAAGAAAAAATCCACAATTAAGGCACCAGGATTACAACTTTATATAGGCTATATAGGACTATATAGGACTTTGGATTGTTTGTTTTGCATCAGCTTTTCCTCAGAGCTCTGACTTAATAATTATCATCATGAAGCTCTGAGTAACTGGAGATATGTCCACCTGAAACAAGTATAGGCCTACAGGTCTTTATTTTCCAGATTATTCCCACAAGCGCATCTCCTGCTTTCTTTCATGGCATGATTAATTTTATTAAAACATAGAATTAACTCTGGAAAGATAGTTGTGATATGACGTGACATAAGGGCAGCCCTGCTAGTAGTTAGGCCTACACCGTGGCCCTTAATCATGAAGATGATTTTTGCTTTAATACCGGCCATGCACACTCACGAACTGACTGAACGCTGTGTTGATGTGTGTGTGTATGCGACCAGTCGCGTGTGATGATCGCAGAGATGCTCACAAGTCTCTGAGCTAGAGTCCAAGTCAAGTCTCAAGTCTCTGAGCTAGAGTCCAAGTCAAGTCTCAAGTCTCTGAGCTAGAGTCCAAGTCAAGTCTCAAGTCTTTGAGCTAGAGTCCAAGTCAAGTCTCAAGTCTCTTGTGGTTATAAGTGTTGCATCACGTACAGCAACCCATCCAGGTTGCTTAGAACACTGCATAACTTTATATAAGGAATTCGAAGCATGTAATATGTTAGGTTACACTTTATTTCGATAGTCCACTTTAGACATTCTACTAACCATGTACATTTTCAACTACATGTCAACTAACTCTCATTAGAGTATTAGTAGACTGTCAGGTTATGATGTGGGTTCGGGTTTGGAGAACAAGTTGACTTGTAGTTGCCAAGTTACTTATAGTCAGTAGAATATCTGTTGGGGAACCAACAAAATAATATATTATAATACATAATTAGCAGATATTAAGCCTACTAATACTCTAATGAGAGTTAGTTGACATACAGCTGCAAAGTTACTTATAGTTAGTCGAATGTATAAAGTGGACTATCAAAATAAAGTGGTACCATATGTTATTATGACTCCTTTATCTATTAGCATACAGTATCAGCTTAGATTTTGGTATATAATCAGTGTAAACAGGCTATTGCAACATGACAAAAACACCAAGAATGCTTTACTTTTAGTTAATTTCTTTATTTTGCCTTGTAGCTTGAACATGCCAAGACATAAGACCAAATATAGAAAATGATATAACTCACAACACTAAAATTGACACACTCCTATTTAGTGCAAAACATCAGTGTAGCTAAATGCAAATAAACTATTGTGTCCAAATGAAATTAACACTACAGTGCACTTCCAAAACATTCAAATGCTCAAAATCTTTAGTGTAAATGTGAAGCAACTGACCAACTTATGGCATGTAACTTGTTAAGAACAAAATGTTTAGAAATAAAAAAATCCAAAGGGTGAGATCAGACTGGTTAACCTTCTCTTCTCTTAACACACTCACTAGGTATGGGCCACAAAACATTTCTGGCTTCTTCTGGCTGCACTGCCTATGCAACTAATCATAGCTTAACGTTATACTGTAAGTCAACACATCCCAGACTCTCAAACCAGTGTAACGTTATAACTAAATGAAACTGTAACGTTACATAAACAACAATAATCCTGTAACCTGTTTGTAGACAACGGGCAGCCAGCGGCACGTAAATGATTAACGTTACGTTAATCGACCATCACAAGTTTGGCAATTAAACAATCGCTCATTCATATTTCATAAGGAAGACAATCGGCGTTAACCTCCCGTAACGTTAGGTAGCTAAAGCAATAAGCAAGCTAACGGTAGATGGTCAATGCTGAGCTAAACATGTTTACTCACCTATCAGGGTGCGTTTTCAGACGCCTGATAAAATTAGATGTAGTTGAGCCAGAATCTTTTATCGTGATACTGCATCATTTGCATTGAGCGCTTCTTTTGAGCGCGTCTTGTTTGAAGTTTTTGAACCTAAAGCTAACGATGAATGGCACAGCAGCGGCCGGTGCAGTTGAACTTTTTGTTTGTTATCCTCTCATGGTCGCGCGCGCGCTGCCAGCAATAGGACGTAGTACGTGGTTACGTAGGCAGGTTATAGGTAACGGAGGGAGGGGGATAACAGCGAGCTCATCAGACGTTTCCTAAAAATAAACATTGTTCACGAGTCCCGCAGCTCGAGTCCGAGTCGAGTCTGAAGTCTTTCGAGGACGAGTCTCAAGTCGAGTCTGAAGTCACTGTGTGTGGGACTTAAGTCGCACTCGAGTCCGAGTCTCAAACTCGAGTCCCCATCTCTGGATGATCGTTCGTTTGGCGCGCGCACCCTCGCGCAGCGGCACTGCAGGAGAGCGTGAGACACGCCGGTGGTCTGGATTCTCCTGCTATTAAAAAAAGATCGCTATATCATCACATTAAGTTGATAATTAAGGGCAGACTAAAACAGCCCAGTTCGTCGCACAGTCCGCGAGTTTAATCTCCGCGTGTCTTCTTGTTTGCAGTGTTGTCGTTCAAGAGGATTCACGAATGGACCAATGAGCAAACACTAAACTATGTGCAGGTGGTACTCATGGGAGTGGTAGTGGCATAGTGTCAAATTGCAATTCGTTTGTTATGTCAGATGTCCTTTGACAAGACTACAAATCTTCAACACGCCAAAGTGGCTAGTGAGAGTGACTGTGTTACCCGCCACGGGTGAAATGCACCCGCATTTGGCGGGTTGGCGGGTGTTAATGTCAAGCCCTGTATGCAACACAAACAAATATATAACTTAGTAAAATTAGCATAATGTACAAACATAGCATAATGACTTTATATTTTTTTTATATTGGCATGAACATTATTAAACTAACTTGAATGTCTCATACTACACTGGATCACGCACTTCCTGCCTGGTGTTGAATTAATAGGACTGCTGGAACGGTCCTTGGTCACTGCTGCACACTAAATCTGAATGAGAATGTGAATTCCTCTGACATAATCTCACTCTTGCATTATTCATGGGGCGGCAGAGAGACAGACCGAGCGAGAAAGAAAGCTGTAACACGCAGTGGATGTGAGAACCGGAGAGCCTCCCCATCAACAGATGAGCCCACCTGTTTCCCTCCTGAACCTATCTCTCCCTCTCACACTCTTTTTCTCACCTTCTCCCTCTCTCTGGTCTGCTGTCTGTCCTCGCATCCTTTGGATCTCCGTGAAGCCTATGAGTGAGTTTCTCTTGGGGAGGAGGAAGGAGAGGGGGCGGCGTGCATGATGTTGTGTATCTGCATTCTGGCTGCAACTGTGCCTTCCATTCGCACTTAATCTGTCAAGATTTCTCCCCTCCTCACACATGAGATCGGTGCAGAAGTATACTGGCACTGGGAGAGAGAGCGAGAGAAAAGAGAGAGACAGAAGGAGAGAGAGTGTGAGCGCGAGAGAGAGAGAGAGAGAGGCTGTGTGTGGCTCAGACTGCGCAGTGATGCCTTGGCAGCTTCGGGAACCAGGCGCACGTTCGTTTCAGTAATATCCTCTTATTCCTTCTTCCAGGCTTCGGAAGAGGAGATGCAGACCATAAGGTAAGCAGCTTCACCTTTCTGTCGTTTTCTATTCTTCTACCCCTCTTTTTCTCTTCCTTTTATTGATGACGCTCTTTAAATGTCTGTTAAAGCAGTTTAAAGCAGGACTGCAGCAGGAATTCACCCCCGTGATGATGTAGGAAGCAGGAATAGCCCGCGTTCTCCACCGCAAAATAGGGGTTTAGTTAGTTGAAAAACCTCCAGCTTCTTTTGAAAGCTCAGTCGTTTTGGTTGGTTATATATCATAGACACATCCATTTGACTATTTACATTTGCTTTTCAGAATGTGCATGTTTCGTTTCCCTCTTTCCCAAGCATGATCGGAGAATACCTGTAGAGAGATAGCAAGGCGCATACTGGCCATTCCCAAACTGAACTGCGCCTTTCCATTGGCTGGAGAATATTCAAGCTGTGCATGTGCTGTCATCAGATCGCTGTTCCCTAAGGCGACATGAGAGATGGGGCTCGGGCAATTATTTATGAGCATGCTAGGTGTTCACTGCTGCTGCTGTATATTATAGTATAGAAGTCATGTGGGGGGGAAAGGGATGACTCAAGCTCTGTGAGGGAGGCTGGATGGATTTATTGGGGGTTTCCCCTCCTTCCCATGAATTATTAATAAATCACAGGGAGAAACAGAAATGTTTCGAGTCATGCTGATGGATTTTAGCTTACTTGTCTTCGTGTTGCTAAGAGAAATGAGAAACTGCAAAGTAAAGGTGCTTGCGAGGACTTGGCATCTATGATGAAGAGCACTTGTCACAGTTGGCAGAGAAGATGTCAGTTGGCAGAACAAGGGTCCAACATTCACTGTCTAAACATTTATTTACAAATTAAATTTACTGCAATGAACACATTAAAATGCAATCAAACATAGAAGAGATAGAAGTTTAGTTTAGTTCATTTGTATAGCACATTTAAAAACAACGTGAGTTGGCCAAAGTGCTTTACATTAAAACGATATTCCAACAGCATAAATAGCCACAAATACAGAAAACATTAAACACCACACCAAACCAAATACAATTAAAATGCAAGACAACAGTAAGAAGAAGAACATCGGTAGACTCAATCATCTATGTGCAATCACAGTAGGGGATGCAGTTCTCAGGTACTCTGTATAAAGTCTAGAACAACTCTGGGCAAACCCCCGAGTTCCAGTTTCAGCTCCAAGCATGATCAAACTCACCTGCCTGTTGCTTTCTAGTAGGGCTGGGTAAAAAATATCGATTTCTCGATATTAATCGATTCTCATTTTTACGAACCGATATCGATTCTTAAATCTCAAGACATTGTAGCGCGCATCCAATCCAATAAATCGCAATGATCTTTGTGCTTTGTTACTATTGATACTAAATAAAGTCTCAAATTTCAAATTACGTCCATTTTCTTACGAAATTCAAAAACATAAATACCATTTTGGCGCTGTGGCGTGAGATCGCTCTGGCTCAGCTCAGCTCAAGAGAAGCAGCAGCGCACATGATCTTCTCTTCCGCCTTAATAATACCTGTTACAGCGCGAAATAAACTTGAATGAACGTCTGAAACTGTGTTAAAAGATAGAGTACAACTTGTCGAAATCCGTATCATGTTACATGGAATCGCTCAATCAGTGTTTCAACCGTGGAAAGATGCCAGTAAAACAACTTGTAAACAATGTCATGTACGTCACATTTACCTCAGAAAAACCATATGTGACTATAAATTCGTTAGTCAGCTAGAAAAATTAACTCTAAAGAGGAGCATTTTGCTAAATATATGCACCATATTACATATTCAATAAATTCGATATTTAATGGATGTTTGAATAAATCTGGCAAGTTTTTATGACAGCTACCATTTAAATGTTTATATTTCATATAACTTTATTATTATAAAAATAAATAAAAGTGTAATTTAAGTGTTTGTATACAAATCAGTATACAATTACCAATATAGTAGGCTAATGAAGCCTAGTAGGCTACAACTGACTCCCATAGTTTACAGCATTAGTTAAGAGATTTGTTTTCCTTGAGAAAATTTGCCATGTATTGTACCTGATATCCAAAATAATCAATATTGAATCGAATCGAATCGGAATCGAATTGCAAGCTTGTGAATCGAAATCGAATCGAATTGTGAAATTTGTGTCAATACCCAGCCCTACTTTCTAGTGAACCTGGAAAACTTGATTAGCTTGTTCAGGTGTATGGATTGGGGATTAGGGTTGGAACTAAACTCTGCAGGACAGTGGATCTTCAGGGCCAGAGTTGAGAACCCCTGCTCTAGTATTGGTTCCTGGTCCTGGAGTACCAACACTGCACATTCTCTCTTATCTGACTCACCCATCTGAGGTCTTTACTAATGAACTGATGAGTTGAATGAGGTGTGTTTGATTAGGGAGACATCTACAGTAAGGGCCCGTTTACATGACAATGATGTACTAAAAATGAAAAAAAAATTCCTTTGCATTTTCGGTGTACAGCTGACAGCATTGTGAAAACGACCCCGTTCACAGGGATCTGCGAAACCGACTAAAAACACTATATTATTCTGCCAAGCCAGTAGTTGTCGATGTTACTTTGTAAAGGAAACACTACGCACCTATAGACTGAACACATAATACGCATGCTCGTCAAAAGTTTTTTTGGTTTTTTTGCGTTTTAAGGCCCCCAAAACGCTGTTGTCGTGTAAATGAACGGCCAAAACGCACAAAACTTTTAACGTTTTTTTGTTGAAAACAGTGTTGTGTAAACGGCCCCAAAATGTGCAGTGCTGGGGGAACTCCAGGACCACTGGTCTAGTGTACGCAATGTTTTAAATTAACAGTGCACCAAATTATAATCTGTCAATTTTGATCCTGCCTGAGCTGGATTGAATAATTAACAATTCATTTGAATTGATTACATGGGAAGCAGTCGTTGGATAACTTCCATTAAAAGCTGCATAGATGAAGTTGCTGCATTGTGTGGAATAACCATAAAATATGCTGAGGTCTGGATCTTTAGGTCAGCAATGATTCTGCAAAGGTGATACATGAGGGGTGGTGGACAGAATATGCACACATAAGGTGAAACACTAATTATCATCCCAAATTATTGCAAATGCCCAATATTGCCTTGACCCCTCAGTGCAGCAAATCTGATGTAACACACTGAAATCACTGCTTCTTGGTCCTTTTAATCTTCCTCTACAGAGTAGGACTTGCACCATTCACGTTTATTTCAGATATTACATTTCAAAGGACATGAAGTAACATTTGTTCAAGTCACCATATAAATAACCATAATAATATATTTGTGTGTGTGTGGGTGTGTGTGGGGGTGTGTGCATGAAATCTTTTCAGTCTGGACACAATATTTATTTATTATAAATTGGTATAGGTTAAAGAAAATACAACAAACACTATGATGGCTTTTTTTTATATTACATTAATGAGAATTAGGGGGGATGTGGGATGTGGGATGTGGGGGGGGGGGGTCAAAATATGATTCAGACATATTGTATTGATATATATCTGCAAAATGAATGCATGCATGGTTAGCCATTTCAAAATATGGTAATATTGTTGTTTTGTAGTATAGTTTGCTATGTAGGCTATGATATGTATAGAAATATATCCCGAGATGTGTATGAGAGTTGATTTCAAAAGTTAACAAAGACCAATCTAACAGAAATGTGCTTAATGTAATCAGGGGTTTAATGATTTGAAAAGTGTGTGTGGAAACACATTACGACAAGGGTTTTTGAAAAATATAATTATTTAGCAAAATTTTGAAATAATGCTACACCCCCTGAATGTCATCAATATAGTATTAAAAATGACTTCTGATCATATAAGCATAGATGGTATACAAGACTGCCCAAAACAGTTGCATATGATCATTCTGTTGGTTTCAGTTGATGTTGTTTTGAGTATTTACTCCATCAGTTGAATGATATCTGCAATGACGTGGCTGAAAACAATCCATGTTTTGCAGCCTTGGGCTCTGATGTTCTCTGTCTGTTCTGAAGAATCGTTTATTATAACATGTTTTAAATCAATCAGCGCTGCTATTTTTAACACACGTGAGCTCGTCTGTTTGCTCTTGTATGTGTTCAAATGCCCACATGTTCAGAATTTTTCCCGTACCGTTCAGCCTGCCAACATTCAGACTTGTAGGCTTAATATTTCATATCAGATCCCTGCCTCTCAGAGGTATTGGTGGTGTGTGCATGTGTATTTTCATTTGCTTAAAAACACGAGGAATGTATAAATCAATGAAATTGTTGAATCTCACGAAACTGTCAAGAACATGCACAACTTATATTTCGCACCAAAAGTATATAATAATGATAAAAATACAAATATTTTGCTTAAAGACAAATACTCATATTTTTAGGACCATTAGTTTTTTTTTATTGTTATTGTCATTATTTTGTTTTTCCCCCCAAAAAAGAAGTGTTCATTAAAGTAATTTCATATAGTATTAATTCATTTATTTTGGTGTGAAATATGATCATGTTCCTTTTGAGTTGCTGATATAACCTGTCCAGAGTTGGGTGTTGTAAAATACTAAGTTGTCAAATTACTGTAATTTAATTACTTTTCCTTGAAAAAGTAAAGTAAGGGATTACTCTTAATTTTTCTTTAATATATTTACAGTTACTTCTGAAGTAATTGCATTACATATTTTATAGAACAATTCTACATAAAACTATTAAAAAAAAAAATCTAATTTTAATGTTGAAACGCATTTTCTTTTAATGTAACCTTCTTCCTTTACACACTTTGGTCAGTTGGGGAATAATTTGTGCAATTGTATATTGTTTATTTGGAAGAATCAAGTTTTGTGTCTATCCTTGTATTGTTCAACTGGTCGACGTTGATATGGGATTTAGAAAGTAATCATTAATAAGTAATCCGATACTTTTTAGAGAGTAATTACATCATTACATTGTTGATGATGTAAGAGCTGCACGATTCTGGATAAATTGAGAATTTCAAATAAATGTCGCGATTCTGAACAGACAACTAAACAA